ACAGATGATAGAGTGGGAGAGGCACTGTCAAAATTTTTTAATGAAAATAAAAAAAAATTTTGGAGTGAGTTAAACAAGTTAAGAAAGCCTAGGGAACGAATGGATATGTCAGTTAAAAACAGAGTAGGGGAGTTAGCAGATGGGGAGACAGAGGTATTGGGTAGATGGCGAGAATATTTTGAGGGACTTTTAAATGTCGACGAAGAAGGGGAGGCGGTAATTTCATGCACTGGCCAGGGAAGTATACCATCTTTTAGGAGTGAAGAAGAGCAGGATGTGAGTGTGGGGGAGGTGCATGAGGCATTAAGTAAAATGAAAGGGGGTAAAGCAGCTGGAATTGACGGAATCATGACAGAAATGTTATAAGCAGGGGGGATATAGTGTTGGAGAGGTTGGTATTCTTGTTCAATAAATGTATGAAAGAGGGGAAGGTACCTAGGGATTGGAAGAGAGCATGTATAGTCCCTTTATATAAAGGGAAGGGGGACAAGAGAGATTGTAAAAATTATAAAGGGAAGGGGGGACAAGAGAGATTGTAAAAATTATAGAGGAAGAAGTTCACTGAGTATACCAGGAAAAGTGTATGGTAGGGTTATTATTTAAAGAATTAGAGGTAAGATAGAATGTAGGATTGCGGATGAGCATGGAGGTTTTAGAGTGGGTAGGGATGTGTAGATCAAGTGTTTACCTTGAAGCATATATGTGAACAGTATTTAGATAAAGGTAGGGAAGTTTTTATTGCATTTATGGATTTAGAAAAGGCATATGATAGAGAGGATAGGGAAGCAATGTGGCAGATGTTACAAGTACAGTGGTCCCTCAATAATCGTCCGGCCTGAAAATCGTCCATTTCGGAAACAGTCCCGTTATTTCGTCTAAACATTGGCTTGCAAATGGTCCGTTAACTCGCTAATCGTCATGCGTCTGGGACGCGTACTCATGCTCTGAGCCGTCTGGGCCTGCCTTCCCAGCCAGTGTGCCATTGTTTACCAGTGAGTGACGATCCCTTCACTTGCTCCTACGAAATATTTCATAATATTCCATTGATTTTAGTGCTTGCAAGTGCTAAATAAGCTACCATGGCTCCAAAGAAAGCTTCTAGTGCCTGCCCTTTGGTAAAGAATGAGAGAAACACATATAATTTATGAAAAAGTTTGTAGAAAATTACAAAGGTGGTGGTGGTGGTAGAGTGGAAGCAGTTGTGATAGGATAGTGGTTGATGGTGGTAGTGATGGTGGTAGAAGATAGTAGTGATGGTGGTAACAGTTGTAATATTGGTAGAAGGTGGTAGTGATGGTGGTAGAGGGTGCCTTCTTTAGTGATTCAGCGATTCTACCAACTCCTCCAATGTTGTTGGAGTTATATAGGGCTACAGAAAACACCGCTGCCTCAGCTGCTGCTTCACCACCATTATGGACGGCTTACTCTCAGTGGCCCTTATATACCCAACAACAACACAACACAACACCTCTCGTGACATACGTAATGACTTATTTTATTCATTCTAGAGTATATTCGAGTAGGTAGTAGGTTGGTAGACAGCAACCGCCCAGGGAGGTACTACCGTCCTGCCAAGTGAGTGTAAAACGAAAGCCTGTAATTGTTTTACATGATGGTAGGATTGCTGGTGTCTTTTGTCTGTCTCATAAATATGCAAGATTACAGGTAAGTCTTGCTACTTCTACTTACACTTAGGTCACACTACACATACATGTACAAGCATATATATACACACCCCTCTGGGTTTTCTTCTATTTTCTTTCTAATTCTTGTTCTTGTTTATTTCCTCTTATCTCCATGGGGAAGTGGAACAGAATTCTTCCTCTGTAAGCCATGCGTGTCGTAAGAGGCGACTAAAATGCCGGGAGCAAGGGGCTAGTAACCCCTTCTCCTGTATATATTACTAAATTTAAAAGGAGAAACTTCAGTTTTTTCTTTTGGGCCACCCCACCTCAGTGGGATACGGCTGGTACGTTGAAAGAAGAAGAGTATATTCGATGTTTCTATGTTATTAATATTGTTTATTGTCATATTAGTTGAATTGTGATAGATAAATAAGCCGTAGAGTTTATATTAGTGTCATATTCTCCAACAATAAACTTACCATCCCTCCCTCACACAAACAAGTCTTCAATAAGAACATAAGAAAGAAGGAACACTGCAGTAGGCCTGCTGGCCCATACTAGGCCGGTCCTTCACAAATCCAACCCACTAACAGAACAAATGCTACCCAAGCAATAAGCTCAGGTGCAAGTCCGACTCAAATCCAATCCCTCTCACTCGTGTATTTATCCAACCTAAATTTGAAACTACCTAAGCCATAGCTTTTAGAACATAAGAAAGGAGGAACACTGCAATAAGCCTGTTGGCCCATACTAGGCCGGTCCTTCACAAATCCAAGTCACTAACAGAACAAATGCTACCCAAGCAATAAGCTCAGGTGCAAGTCCGACTCAAATCCAACCCCTCTCACTCGAGTATTTATCCAACCTAAATTTGAAACTACCCAATGTTTTAGCTTCGATCACCCTACTAGGCAGACCGTTCTACTCATCAACTACCCCTATTACCAATGTTCATTTATACATTTTATTAGTGCTTTACATTTATTTGGCATTTTTTCTGCATGTAAATCTATATTTATCCTAGGGAAGTGACCCCTGAAGTGACCTCGAGTCCTTATGGAGGGGGATTCCCCTTCCAAACAATAACCTCTCTTCCCTCTCTCCTCCTCCCTGTCTTCCATTCATCAACATCAGCCTTCAATAAAGGTAACTGTCATGTTGAATGTTCATTCTTTTGTGCATGTAAATCTATCTTTTAGATAAAAAAAAAATTGCTGTTGATACTTCTGGGTGTCTGGAATGAATTAATTGGATTTACATTATTTCTAATGGGGAAAATTGATTTGAAAATCGTCTATTTCGATAATAGTCCCACTTCCAGGAACGGATTAAGGACGATAATTGAGGGACCACTGTATATGGAATAGGTGGTAAGTTAATAAATGCTGTAAAGAGTTTTTATGAGGATAGTGAGGCTCAGGTTAGGGTGTGTAGAAGAGAGGGAGACTACTTCCCGGTAAAAGTACAGTGCTTAACAGGGATTTATTGTCACCATGGTTGTTTAACTACTATTTTATAGAATGGGTTGTAAAGTAAATGTAGGTGTTTGGGAGAGGCAAGGATTAAACTTACGGGAATCAATTACAAATTGTGAATAATGACAGTTCACTTTTTTGCTGTGATACTGTGCTTATGGGAGACTCTGAAGTAAAAATTAATGGAGCAGTATTGATGTTTATGAGATTGAAGTACAATGAGACGAGTTTAGGAGTGTGTGTAAAGGTAGAAAGTTGAAAGTGAACATAGAAAAGAGTAAGGTGATGAGGGTATCAAATGATTTAGATAAAGAAAAATTGGATATCAAATTGGGGAGGAGTAGTATGGAAGAAGTGGATGTTTTCAGATATTTGGGAGTTGACGTGTCAGCGGATGGATTTATGAAGGATGATGTTAATCATAGAATTGATGAAAGAAAAAAGGTGAGTGGTGCACTGAGGTATATGTGGAGACAAAAAACGTTATCTATGGAGGCAAAGACAGGAATATATGAGAGTATAGTAGTACCAACACTCTTATATGGGTGTGAAGCTTGGGTTGTAAATGCTGCAGCGAGGAGGCAGTTGGAGGCAGTGGAGATGTCCTGTCTAAGGGCAATGTTTGGTGTGAATATTATGCAGAAAATTCGGAGTGTGGAAATTAGGAGAAGGTGTGGAGTTACTAAAAGTATTAGTCAGAGGTCTGAAGAGGGGTTGTCGAGGTGGTTTGGTCATTTAGAGAGAATGGATCAAAGTAGAATGACATAGAGAGCGTATAAATCAGTAGGGGAGGGAAGGCGGGGTAGGGGTCGTCCTCGAAAAGGTTGGAGGGAAGGGTAAAGGTGGTTTTGTGGGCGAAGGGCTTGGACTTCCAGCAAGCGTGCGTGAGCGTGTTAGATAGGAGTGAATGGAGACGAATGGTATTTGGGACCTGACGATCTGTTGGAGTGTGAGCAGGGTAATATTTTGTGAAGGGATTCGGGGAAACCGGTTATTTTTATATAACTGGACTTGAGTCCTGAGGCAACTAAAATGCTGGGATAAGGGGCTAGTAACCCCTTCTCCTGTATACATTACTAAAGTTAAAAAGAGAACTTTGTTTTTCTTTTTGGGCCACCCTGCTTCAGTGGGGTACGGCTAGTTTGTTGAAAGAAGATTTCTTATATCTAGAAATCTTTATATAAAGACCTAGGTAATAGGTTGGTAGACAGCAACCGCCCAGGGAGGTACTACCATCCTGCCGAGTGTAAAATGGAAGCCTGTAATTGTTTTACATGATGATAGGATTGCTGGTGTCTTTTCTGTCTCATAAACAAGCAGGATTTCAGGTATGTCTTGCTACTTCTACTTAGACTTAGGTCACACTACACATGCATGTACAAGCATGTATATACACACCCCTCTGGGGTTTCTTCTATTTTCTTACAAGTTCTTATTCTTGTTTATTTCCTCTTACCTCCATAGGGAAGTGAAACAGATTTCTTCCTCCATAAGCCATGCGTGTCTTAAGAGGCAACTAACATGCTGGGAACAAAGGGCTAGTAACCCTTTCTCCTGTATACATTACTAAAGTTAAAAAGAAAAAATTTTGCTTTTCTTTTTCGGCCACCCTGCTTCAGTGGGATACGGCCAGTTTGTTGAAAGGAAGATTAATATAAAGAGTAACTTTGTAACTCTAGCTACCAGAACCACATTCCAAAAATTCTGTGGGATGAAAGACAAGCTTTTGGTATATGGTACACACTTCTTTTTTTACTAAGGCAGAATGACCCAAAGAAGGAAACGCATTTACTATCATTCATTCAATGACAGCAGGAATTACAATTCTATGTTATATCATTTAACTGAAAAATAATAACAAAGCTCCACAAGGTCAATATCTCTAGTACTATATTCTTACCTTGCTACTCCACCATAATCCAATCCATCTTCTCCTCTGAAGATAATAAAGAGTCGTCTCCTGAGTTCATAAGCTGGAAGTCGCATCACCTGGTGGAATGAGTCTTCAAACAGTGTCTGCCGCGTTACGCTTATCTTGATATGACCCGTTACAGCATTGCTGGTGAAGATGTGAAATCAGTACCATGAATTATGAATGTAGAAACATGTCAAGTCAATGAAAAGAGGTATCCTTATGATGATATTAATGCATAAAGCTCACAAAAGTTAAACTTTATTGTCACTCTGCAGCATACAAATTCAGGTGAAGAAACAGAAACAGTATAACTCCAAACCAGTACCTTAGCTTACTGATTATTTCTTTCAATCATCTGTTATAAAACAATCAGGCCAAATTTATATAAGATTTATGAAATATGATTTTTTTTGTTTTAACCTGTCAGCCATTTCCCACCAAGGCAGGGTGATCCAAAAAGAGAAAATATGAATTACTTAAGAATATTACCAATGAGAACCAGATAAAAGTTACTGCAATAAGACACTTATGTACAATTCAAGGCATTATTTGACATTTTATAACAGTTTAACCACAAAAAATTAAATATTACAATTCTAGGTGTTGACAGTAATGGGGAGAGTCATGGTGAAAGTGTTTCTTCTTTTTTTTTGGGTCGCCCTACCTTGGAGGAAGGCAGCTGGCATGTTAAAAAAAAAATCTACGTACAGTAGACCGTCAATTAAAAAAGTTTCCTTTACAACGTTTTCTCCATTACACTAATGTCAAATTGTGGCACATTTTCATTTTACAATTCGTAAAATTCAATTTAAACAGTTCTGCTTCTCAGTAGGGAAAAAAATTTCAGTGCCAAAAGTTGGACGACGGGGATCTTTCCCTGTGTAGCGAGCGTTAGGCAGTCTGCCTGTAGGTCAAGCCACTGTCTTTTGCAGGGGAGGCCCTAGTTTCCTACCCTGCCACCTCCATACCTGTGCTCAGTATATACGCACCAAGTAAGGTACCCAGCATTGTCTGTGAATCGGGTTTTGGTCTTCTCATCACCATACATTGCATCTGCCAAGGAACCATGGCAACCAGGAGGCATGCAAATGATGCAGCATGTGGCAAGACCAAGTAAAAAAAAAAAAGTTCAAGTCTTGAAATTATGAAGAAACTCAAGATATTAAATAAGCTTAACCCTTTGACTGTCGCAAGCCTCTTTCTGAAACTATCATTCTGTCGCAAAATTTTTGGAAATAAAAAAAATTTTTTTTCTAATGAAATGATAGATAATCTTTTCCTGGTGGTAATGACACCAAAAGTACGAAATTTGGTCGAAAACTCACGGAATTACGCTCCCGTGAAGTTAGCGGTCTCGGCGACATATACGCATCAGTGATTTCGCCGACTTTGAGCCCTGTTTTTGGCCAATTCAGTTGTTCCAGTTAACCAAACTCATAGCTATTTTTTTAGAACTCCATTGTTTCTATCAGTTGAGTACAAGAAACCGCCCATTTACCGATTTGAACTACCCAATAAAGTGGTCAGAAATTGGCAATTTGGCCAATTTCACGCAAATTAAAAAAGATGCCAATTTCAAAATAGGGTCCAGAATAAACAATGTAGACATTCTTAGCACTAAAATAACATATCCTCTGTTCATTAGTCATGTCTCTAGGTCCCTCTTATATTACTATTGCTTTCTATTTTGATATTTTATTCATACAAAAAATACAAAATTCACTGTTATGAAAACTACTGCATTATTGTAAAAATGTATAAATAATATCAGTTCACTAGTGAAAGAATATTAGACTCCCCAGTTGACATGTATTGGACGTGTGGCGTGATTTGCTTACTCCTGAACATTGGTAAAAATCAAACATTTCCGCTACTTTGAGCTCAATTTCAAGGTCGTTTTTATCGTGAAACTAATCAAAATCATCTCTATTTCTGTAAAATGTTTTTCATTTTATCATATGAGACCATGAAAACGAGAATACAACTATAAATACTATATGAAAATACATCTCAAAGTTGGCGTTTTAATCCCAAAAAAGGGTCAGTTTTGTTCTCATTATGCACTGCATGCTGCAGGATTTTTTATGTGGTGCACACTGACCACACACAGACCCATTCTCTCGCATGTGGGCCTACCAGCTTTCTCTTGCATGACTTGAAGCCACTAGAATTTTTTTTTTTTTTTTTTTTTTCAACAAGTCGGCCGTCTCCCACCAAGGCAGGGTGACCCAAAAAAGAAAGAAAATCCCCAAAAAGAAAATACTTTCATCATCATTCAACACTTTCACCACACTCGCACATTATCACTGTTTTTGCAGAGGTGCTCAGAATACAACAGTCTAGAAGCATACACATATAAAGATACACAACATATCCCTCAAACTGCCAATATCCCAAACCCCTCCTTTAAAGTGCAGGCATTGTACTTCCCATTTCCAGGACTCAAGTCCGACTATATGAAAATAACCGGTTTCCCTGAATCCCTTCACTAAATATTACCCTGCTCACACTCCAACAGATTGTCAGGTCCCAAGTACCATTCGTCTCCATTCACTCCTATCTAACACGCTCACGCACGCTTGCTGGAAGTCCAAGCCCTTACCCACAAAACCTCCTTTACCCCCTCTCTCCAACCCTTTCGAGGACGACCCCTACCCCGCCTTCCTTCCCCTATAGATTTATATGCTTTCCATGTCATTCTACTTTGATCCATTCTCTCTAAATGACCAAACCACCTCAACAACCCCTCTTCTGCCCTCTGACTAATACTTTTATTAACTCCACACCTTCTCCTAATTTCCACACTCCGAATTTTCTGCATAATATTTACACCACACATTGCCCTTAAACAGGACATCTCCACTGCCTCCAACTGTCTCCTCGCTGCTGCATTTACCACACCAAGCTTCACACCCATATAAGAGTGTTGGTACTACTATACTTTCATACATTCCCTTCTTTGCCTCCATAGATAACGTTTTTTTGACTCCACATATACCTCAACGCACCACTCACCTTTTTTCCCTCATCAATTCTATGATTAACCTCATCCTTCATAAATCCATCCGCCGACACGTCAAATCCAAGTATCTGAAAACATTCACTTCTTCCAATACTCTCCTCCCCAATTTGATATCCAATTTTTCTTTATCTAAATCATTTGACACCCTCATCACCTTACTCTTTTCTATGTTCACTTTCAACTTTCTACCTTTACACACATTCCCAAACTCATCCACTAACCTTTGCAATTTTTCTTTAGAATCCCCCATAAGCACAGTATCATCAGCAAAAAGTAACTGTGTCAATTCCCATTTTGAATTTGATTCCCCATAATATAATCCCACCCCTCTCCCAAACACCCTAGCATTTACTTCCTTTACAACCCCATCTATAAATATATTAAACAACCATGGTGACATTACACATCCCTGTCTAAGACCTACTTTTACCGGGAAGTAGTCTCCCTCTCTTCTACACACCCTAACCTGAGCCTCACTATCCTCATAAAAACTCTTTACAGCATTTAATAACTTACCACCTATTCCATATACAGTGGACCCCCCGCATAACGATTACCTCCAAATGTGACCAATTATGTAAGTGTATTTATGTAAGTGCATTTGTACGTGTATGTTTCGGGGTCTGAAATAGACTAATGTACTTCACAATATTTCTTATGGGAACAAATTCGGTCAGTACTGGCACCTGAACATACTTCTGGAGTGAAAAAATATCGTTAACCGGGGGTCCACTGTACTTGCAACATCTGCCACATTGCTCCTCTATCCACTCTATCATATGCCTTTTCTAAATCCATAAATGCAATAAAAACTTCTCTATCTTTATCTAAATACTGTTCACATATATGCTTCAATGTAAACACCTGATCTACACATCCCCTACCCACTCTAAAACCTCCTTGCTCATCCGCAATCCTACATTCTGTCTTACCTCTAATTCTTTCAATTATAACCCTACCGTACACTTTTCCTGGTATATTCAGTAAGCTTATTCCTCTATAATTTTTACAGTCTCTTTTGTCCCCTTTCCCTTTATATATAAAGGGACTATACATGCTCTCTGCCAATCCCTAGGTACCTTCCCCTCTTTCATACATTTATTAAACAAAAGTACCAACCACTCCAACACTATATCCCCCCCTGCTTTTAACATTTCTGTCATGATCCCATCAGTTCCAGCTGCTTTACCCCCTTTCATTTTACGTAATGCCTCACGTACCTCCCCCACACTTACATTCTGCTCTTCTTCACACCTAAAAAGATGGTATACCTCCCTGACCAGTGCATGAAATTACTGCCTCTGTTTCTTCCTTAACATTTAAAAGTTCCTCAAAATATTCTCGCCATCTACCCAATACCTCCATCTCCCATCTACTAACTCCCCTACTCTGTTTTTAACTGACAAATCCATATTTTCCTAGGCTTTCTTAACTTGTTTAACTCACTCCAAAATTTTTCTTATTTTCATTAAAATTTCTTGACAGTGCCTCTCCCACTCTATCATTTGCTCTCCTTTTGCACTCTCTCACCACTCTCTTTACCTTTCTTTTACTCTCCATATACTCTGCTCTTCTTATAACACTTCTGCTTTGTAAAAACCTCTCATAAGCTACCTTTTTCTCTTTTATCACACCCTTTACTTCATCATTCCACCAATCACTCCTCTTTCCTCCTGCCCCCACCCTCCTATAACCACAAACTTCTGCCCCACATTCTAATACTGCATTTTTAAAAACTATTCCAACCCTCTTCAACCCCCCCCACTACTCATCTTTGCACTAGCCCACCTTTCTGCCAATAGTCACTTTATCTCACCCGAACTTCCTCCTCCCTTAGTTTATACACTTTCACCTCCCTCTTACTTGTTGTTGCCACCTTCCTCTTTTCCCATCTACCTCTTACTGTAACTGTACCTACAACTAAATAATGATCCGATATATCAGTTGCCCCTCTATAAACATGTACATCCTGGAGCCTACCCATCAACCTTTTATCCACCAATACATAATCTAATAAACTACTTTCATTACGTGCTACATCATACCTTGTATATTTATTTATCCTCTTTTTCATAAAATATGTATTACTTATTACCAAATTTCTTTCTACACATAGCTCAATTAAAGGCTCCCCATTTACATTTACCCCTGGCACCCCAAATTTACCTACTACTCCTTCCTATAACATTTTTACCCACTTTAGCATTGAAATCCCCAACCACCATTACTCTCACACTTGATTCAAAAACTCCCCACGCATTCACTCAACATTTCCCAAAATCTCTCTCTCTCTCTCTACACTTCTCTCTTCTCCAGGTGCATACACGCTTATTATAACCCACTTTTCACATCCAATCTTTATTTTACTCCATATAATCCTTGAATTAATACATTTATAGTCCCTCTTTTCCTGCCATAGCTTATCCTTCAACATTATTGCTACTCCTTCTTTAGCTCTAACTCTATTTGAAACCCCTGACTAATCCCATTTATTCCTCTCCACTGAAACTCTCCCACCCCCTTCAGCTTTGTTTCACTTAAAGCCAGGACATCCAGCTTCTTCTCATTCATAACATCCACAATCATCTCTTTCTTATCATCTGCACAACATCCACGCACATTCAGACTTCCCACTTTGACAATTTTCTTCTTCTTATTCTTTTTAGTAATCTTTACAGGAAAAGGGGTTACTAGCCCATTGTTCCCGGCATTTTAGTTGACTTTTACAACACGCATGGCTTACGGAGGAAAGATTCTTATTCCACTTCCCCATGGATATAAAAGGAAAATTAATAAGACCAAGAACTATTAAGATAAAATCAAAGAAAACTCAGATGAGTGTGTATAAATAAATGTGTACATGTATGTGTAGTGTGACCTAAGTGTAAGTAGAAAGTAGCAAGACATGCCTGTAATCTTGCATATTTATGAGACAGACAAAAGACATCAGCAATCCTACCATCATGTAAAACAATCACAGGCTTCGTTTTACACTCACTTGGCAGGACGGTAGTACCTCCCTGGGTGGTTGCTGTCTACCAACCTACTACCTATAAAATATTTATGCGTATTAATACGTCCGAAACACTGATCGTAAGACATATATATACGATCAAAACAGTCAAAGGGTTAAATGTAGTGCCTGCATGGTAGACATGGTGAGAGGTTATGGGTAAAACGTAGAGTCGATTCGTGTTATTAAAGAGTGAAGCAATTATACGGGCTTATGCAATGAATAACCCAAGCTGTCATCTGATTTACTGACTTGATTGATTTACTTAATGACTGACTGATTTACTGAATGAATGACTTACTGACTAACCTGATTTACTGATTTTCTGAATGATTGACCTGATTTACTGACTGGCTTACTGACTTGTCTGACCAACTTGACTGATCTACTGAATGACTTTAATGACTGACTTTGTGATTTACTTAATGACTTGACTGACTTGAATTAGTGACCTACTGAACTGAATGACTGTACTGACTTGACTGACTGACCTATTGACTCACTTGACTGGACTGTCGACTTGACTACCATCCACCTCAGCCCAGAGAGGCCTCAGCATGCCTCTCCACTCCTTCAGAATCATCAACAAACACCAGTAACCACAATTTAAGGTAAGAAATATTATTTTTGTTACATTTGTAGCCTTGAACAACAGAAAACACACACATAATGACAATGAACAATATATGCATTATCAACTATTTTTCTTACAAGTTCTTCAATTCCTTTAACATGGATTCATCACACTGCATTTTCAGGAACCTAACTATCGTCTTAATCGACGGTCTACTATACTTAAGAGTGGGTAATGAGCACACATCTATGCTCTTCCCTAACTTATTTTATGGGATGAGCCTAAATAACCTAGTAACATGAAATATCCCCTTTATCTTTAAATGGTCTTCCAAATTCTATTAATTATCTGTCTACTCATGATTGTAACTTTACACCTGGACTGTGTTAGTGCTTGGCAAGCAATGAATAATTTTTTTTTTTACTGGTAACAAGGTTTTTTTCAAATTACTCTTTACATAATTTTTCTACATGTTTTCATACTGTAATTTTTTTTTTTTTTTTTTTTTTTTTGAACAAGCTGGCTATCTCCCACCAAGGCAGGGTGATCCAAAAACAAAATATTTTCACTAACATTCATACTATCACTATTTTACCAGAGGTGTGCAGATACAAATCTTAAATTTAGGTTCTATTAATATAAAGTAAAGAACAGTTCCACTACTCACCTGTGACATAAATAGCGAAACTGTCCTAGCTTCCACCTGAACGATCTTTCATAAACCATTGGAATCCCATACTGACCCCTGCTGGCATTGCTGAAGAAAAATACTTATATTATTTAATCTGAAATAAAACATGCATTATCAGTCATGTTTTTGTATTTGCACCACTTCAGCCATTTCTCACCAAGGTAAGGTGACCTAATGAATGAAACAAAGTGGTATATCTGATTTTATTGCCTAGTACAAGGAGTACTAGTTCCCCCAAAAACATGGCTAAGCACTGATGATCTAGAGTATAGAGTGAAGTTACTTCAACTTAACAAGCTATGTAGGTTTCACTTGCTGAGTGACTAGAAAATGTACCAAAGCTTTGTAGTACAGGTCGACCATCACTAATCCAGCATCGTTGGGACCTGCAGTGTGTCGGATCAGTGAGTTTGCCGGATTACAGAGTGGTTCGGTTAGAATACATTTAAATAACCTATCAATAAAGACTTTCTGCTACATCTTCCTCATTTTCATCACTGCTTTCTCCTCCACTGGCTTGTTGCTATGGATTTACAACCATCTGCACAATTTCTGAGTCAGTACAATGATGAAATTTGAGTCAGTATAATGAAATTTTAAATTATGCTAGCTGAAATTAGTGCCAGATTACTGATGGAACTGGATAACAGATTACCGGATTAGTGGTGGCTGACCTGCATCTATTTGAGGTAGCTTAATAATTCACTTAAAATGAAAATTTGTGAAAAATAAAAAAGCACAATACCATGACTGGAATAATACATAAATAACTAGCACATAGGAAAATGAAATTTATGACAACATTTCAGGTCAGACTGAAATGTTAGTCATAAGATTCATTCTCCCATCTGCAGGTTATTTGTGTACTGAAAATCTAAGGTTTCCCCACATCATTTTGAATCTTTTTATGTTCTGTAAATAAAAAATATGAATTATGTGACAAGGTTTTACCTTTGTCTAATAAGGCAAAAATAAAGTTCACATACATTTGCTTGGCTCCAGGGCGGGGATCTTGGAAAGTTGTTTGTCGGGTATTATGGTCCACAAAATATTGCCGACCATCTTCTGTAAGACGCATTTCCCACCCAGTAGGTAAAGCCTCTTCTTCCAAAACCATTCTGATAGAAGTGAAAACAACAAGTTAATATCAAAGCATAGATAATTTCTCATAAGAACAAAAAGTTTGCTTTTGATCATTTGTTCCAAGTTCCTGGTTCTCTTGATTCTGTCTTAAGACATGCAGCACACATCATTCTGAATTTGGCAAAATCACTATTTTGGCTTTGTATGGTACTTCAAATACCACAGTGTGAATATTTTACCAATACCAAACAAAACTATGTTATACATACAACCAGACAAGGAATTGCATTTGTAAGTGTTTAAAGCATGAAAAAGGTACAGTATTCAACTTTAAATATACAAATTAGTTCACAACTTTAATTATTAGTAGTAAAATTAGCCAAAATTGTAATTAACTCTTTCTTAGACTGAATAATTAAAAAATAAGCATTAATTTTATTATAAGCTAACAAAGAATGGAAATTCTGTAATACATCACCAAAACACCAAATGCAAAGCAAGGACCTCAGTTTATTCAATGATTTTACAATACGCCTTCTGTAATAACATTGCATGGGCATTTATGGAGGCTTACACTATCTTTTTTTATTTATTTTTACCTCAACAGCCATCTCCCATCAAGGCAGGGTGACATTCACCATCATTCATTCAACTGCTGTCTTTCCAGAAGTGTGCTGACATCACAATTCAGATTACCCTAAATGAAGAAGTGCTAAACCCATAGCATATAGCACTAGGGGAATCAGAGATAATCAGGATTGATCTAAAGGGAGTGGTAGCTCCAATTCTTTGGATCAAAAGTCCTTATCCTATATCAAGGCACTCCCTCAAAGGATTACATTTGTGTTAGCCAGAGGTATACCAGAGGTATAGAACACTACGGGGTTAACAGGATTCTCAGAATTAACATGTAAGGGGCTGTGACAGCATTGGGTCAGTTCAAGATTGTCCTTTTCTATGGCAGACCAAATTAAGTTATGCAAATTTTGAATATCTTCCTCTTTCAACAAACCAGCCATATCCCACTGAGGCAGAGTAGCCCAAAAGAAAAAAAACGAAAGTTTCTCTTCTTTGAAACTTAGTAATATATACAGGAGGATGGGGGGGAAGGGGGGATGCAATGTGGCAGATGTTGAAATGTATGGAATAGGAGGTAGGTTACTGAAAGCAGTGAAGAGTCTTTATGAGGATAGTGAGACTCAGGTTAGAGTATGTAGGCAAGAGGGTGATTATTTCCCAGTAAAAGTAGGCCTTAGACAGGGATGTGAGATGTCAATAAGGTTGTTCAATATATTTATGGATGGAGTTGTAAGTGAAGTGAATGCTCAGGTGTTGGCAAGAGGTGTGGGGTTAAAAGATAAAGAATCTCACACAAAGTGGGAGTTGTCACAGTCGTTCTTTGCTGATGACACTGTGCTTTTGGAAGATTCTGAAAAGAAGTTGCAGAGGTTGGTTGATGAATTTGGTAGGGTATGTAAAAGAAGGAAATTAAAAATTAATATAGGAAAGAGTAAGGTGATGAGGATAACAAACAAAATTAAGTAATGGAAGATTGGATAACAGATTAGAGGGAGAGAGTATGGAGGAGGTGAATGTATTCAGATATTTGGGAGTGGACATGTCAGCAGATGGGTCTATGAAAGATGAGGTAAATCATAGAACTGACGAGGGAGAAAAGGGGAGTGGTGCACTGAGGAGTCTGTGGAGACAGAGAACGTTATCCATGAAAGCTAAGAGGGGAATGCATGAGAATATAGTTATACAACGCTCTTGTATGGGTGTGAGGCATGGGTTGTGAATGTTGCAGCAATAAGAAGGCTGGAGGCAGTGGAGATGTCATGTCTGAGGGGAATCTGTGGTGTGAATATAATGCAGAGAATCCGTAGTTTGGAGGTTAGGAGGAGGTGTGGGATTACCAAAACTATTATCCAGGGGGCTGAGGAGGGGTTACTGAGATGGTTTGGACATGTAGAGAGGATGGAATGAAACAGAATGACTTCGAGCATATAAATCTGTAGTGGAGGGAAGGCAGGGTAGGGGTCAGCCTAGGAAAGGTTGGAGGGAGGGGGATAAAGAAAGGTTTGTGTGTGAGGGACTTGGACTTTCAGCAAGCATGTGTGAACGTATTAGGAGCAAATGGAGACAAATGGTTTTTAGGTCTTGTAGGTCATGTAAGCAAGGTAACATTTATGAAGGGATTCAGGGAAATCGCCAGGTTGGACTTAATCCTGGAGATAGGAAGTACAGTGCTGTCACTCTGAAGGAGGGGTGTTAATACTGTAGTGTAAGCATGCCTCTGGCAAGACAGTGATGACGTGAACGACGATGAAAGTTTTTTCTTTTTCGGGCCACCCTGCCTTGGTGGGAAATGGCCGGCGTTAAAAAAAAATAAAATAATAAATACAGGAGAAGGGGTTACTAGCCCCTTGCTCCTAACATTTTAGTCGTCTCTGACAACACGCATGCTTATGGAGGAAGAACTCTGTTCCACTTCCGCATGGAGA